CATTTTACTGAAGTTTACCATGAGCGCAGGCTTGAACAAGTTTCATATTGATGCTACAAAATAAAAATTTTAATAAAGTCATTGTGTTAAAAGGAAAAACTTGTTCAAGACTGCGCTCATATTAAAAAATTATTTTTCAAAATTATTTTTCGGCATTTTGATGCAAGATCGCGTGTAATATATGGTCCGGAACATGGAAAACGGACTTCGCCGCTATCGATATTTTTGTTTACTGCAGCAGAAACACTCAAATGATGGAGTTAAAACCAACAATTCCTTAATTTTTCACAACCAAGAAAGGTAAGATTTGTTCTTGTTAGCAAAAATTTTTAACTGATGTGATATAAAAAATGAATAGTTTTTTTATTCATCGGACGTCTGCAGCACTTGATTGCATCATCAGTTTTACGTCTGGTTGACAGATGCCCCAATACAGGTAGACGGCAAAAAATCCACTAACTTTGTGTGATGTTTGTTCAAAAATTAATTCAAATGTCATTTATTAACAATAAAATATATTTAAAGGTATCTCAATACTTTTTAAAGTTCTGAAACAGTATTATTCTGTGCTGCCAAGCCCAGTTTGAATGTTGTTGATGTTGATCGCCGAACAAACGGTGAAGTGTCGTCTGGACTGAAGGCGAGCTCACAATAAATTCAAGAGTAATTCATTATAAACTTCAACAGAGACTGTGTGTCTTGTTGAAGTCCACTGAAAATGTCTTCTTTCTGTCTGAAAAATATTCGTTTTATTAACTAAGGAAAAATAGAAATGAAAGAGCGCATCTATTTATACTCATTGTCTTGGAAACAGCCAGAGAGAAAGCCAACATAGTTGGTGTATATATACTTTCAAAATAACAACGGGTTGCATATGTTGTACCGTGGTGTAGTGGTATGAGGGTTGGCTCAGTAGCATAAGCACCACAATTATGGGTTCCAATCCTGATGACCATTGATCTTATTTTTTTTATATTCAATTTAAGATACAAAACTATAATACATATTTTCTAGCGAGAACTTTGCAACACATTATTATTTTTAACATTAATTAAAACTATTTGTGTAATTAATTAAGCTCTGACTTCAAATCCTGTTGACAACTCTTATTTATTTTGATTTCAAATAAAAAAATACCTATTCTTAATTTAATTTAAAATGCAACCATGTAGTCTGTTCTTGAAAGTGCTTAGCAACATTTTATTTTTTTCACATTAAGAAAATAACATTTGTAATATTAATTAAACTGTGAGTTCAAATCTTGTTGACAATCCATATTTCACAAACATTTATCGACATTTGTGTGAGTTACAGTTGTGCTGGTGCCTGTTCCTTTTTATTTTTTTTTCTTAATTTCAGTGTAAAAATCTTAACAACATATTCACTAAATAATGTGTAATTATTGATCAATTATGACAAAAATATGTTATGTAATTTAAATATGAATATAATATCTATGTTTACAACTTTTAATTTCTTATACAATGTATAGAACACACATTCTGTTGAGTTCCACATAAAAAGTTGTCACTTTTATGTTTACATATTCTTTTTATACTTTTCTACGTTACCGTGATTCATATGGTTGGTATAAAGTATTAATATACTTATCAAATATTTCTTTCCAGATGCCAAAAGACATCCCATGTTGCTTGTGCTTCAAAAGGTGTAAACCAAATTCCAGAAGGCATATCCCACCTGGCGTGGCCTTTAAAAGATATGTGGAGCGATGTGTTGGCAGGGACGTGAGTAGCAATGACATGATATGCGGGACATGTACGGCACGAGTGTATAGGAGTCTTCCAATATTTCACCAGAAAAGAACCACTTGTGAAAACTGACGCAACATCAGAAGCACATTGCAGGGCAATGCTTGCAAAGTCCAAGGAACCAAATACAGTGAAGGCATTTTTGGAAAGCAACAACTTACTAAATAAGAGAACTGTTTATCAAAAGCTGGAAGCAGAAGACTTGATGAACTTCCCTAAACTTTCCATGGATGACTTACGAAACATCACCATGGGAGTTTATCAACTTAAACAGGCTCCAAGTTATACAAAGGAGCACTGTGTTGAAGATGGACTGTATGAGTTGCTTGTCTTCTCAGAAAACCCTAATCTGATCAAGTTAAAAATACAGTCTCGACACTGTAACAGCAGAGCACATTCTTTGTGGATTGAGTATGACTCACTCTCTGATGATCCCATCAAAGGTTGGTACTGCACTTGTAAAGTAGGCTCAAGAGTGGTCGGTTGCTGTGCCCACATTGCAAGTGCATTGTGGTTTCTAGGATATGAACGCTTCCAAGGCAAATCATCTGGGGCAGTGACTATTTCAACAAAGTCTTTGGCTGATGCAGCTGACATTCCAACAACAGATTCCGACACGGATGAGGAGTATACAGAGGAATAAACTGTAACACTATATGTATTTAAAGTAGATATAATTTGAAGTCGCTTATCACTTGTTCATTTTCATGTTTGTTAAATTCTGTGAACAAAACCAAAGGTTATACATTGATTATATGCTTCGAATATGCTTTGCTTTCAAAAGCACCAGTGCAGACGTATGAAGCAAAATAGAAACCGATAACAGCTTCAGGTGATGTTCTTGCTATGAAAAGAATATGTTAACAATTACGGGTATGCTATGTGATAGACTCTGTTGCTAGGGTACTAACTTTGATCTGTATCAAAATGTTTATATTATACATATTTCGTAAGAAAAGGTTAGTCCATATAAAGTGATAATGATCTGTTTTCATTAAATAACGTACAATAAAAAACATTGAAACAATATAAAAAAAATAACAGTTTAGGTCATATTCTTGCCATGTGTAAGAATACTTTGCTAGGGCACCAACTTTGATCAATACTCTAATATCTATATTGTGATACCTTTATTAGAAAGTTTAGCCACTGAAAACATGAGAAATATTTTGTTTTCATTAAGTACAGCAGAAGAAAAATCTTGAAACTGGAAAGAAAATGTTGTTATCAATATAAGTTATTGTTGTTGCTATGCGACACATTCTGTTGCTAGGGAAATTATTGTCACTTCCCAAATGTTTGCATTATAATACCTTTGTAAAAAAAGTTAGTCCATATAATTATGTCACATATGCTATGATTTGTTTTCATTTCACAAGTTCGGACGATAGAAAATGTTGTTACCAGTAATAAATCTTATAGCCATGCCGTTGCTATGTGATATAATTCGTTGCTAAGGTACCAAATGTAAATATATTAAAAGTTTAATTTAAGCCTTTGCTAGCAAAAGCCATTAGTTGATAACTTCCATAAGTGATTTAATTACATCAATATTAAGCAGCATATTTGTATGATAATTAAAAGTTACAGAATCTTTTTGTAATGCTTTGTGTCATTTTTCTCTTAAAAAATACTGGTGTGACACCTATATTTGATGTGCCGCTACGCATGCGCCGAGAAAGAAAACATGCTAAAATCCCCCAATTCATTAATTACGTTACTATCCTTTCTCAATATAGGTATTTCATCAAATTTGAAGAGGGGGCCAAATTTGACCCAAATCATACATACTCCTTTAGTTTAAATCTGTCCAGTAGTTCTTGAAAATAAATCAGATGAAGTAAGAGAATGGACAGACTACACAGAGACTCCAACCATAAACTACAGAGTCTTTGACCAGGTGAGCTTCAGTCACGGAAACAGAAAACCTGTCAATCCATCAAGGTGAGCTTAAGTTCAAGGGTCGTGTTTCTACGGCTGAAGCTGACAATAAATGATAAGGCTGTCAAATACAGATTAAAACAAGAGGCCCAATGGGCTGAACATTCATGTGAGTTACCAAGCGGTGGTTGTTCTTGTAACATGCAATAGAAATAGCCTCACTTGAATTACGTGTAATGTAAATATAATCTTGGTGTCATATCACCCCATGCTAACTAAGACTTCTAACCATGTTTGAAATAAAAGAGGGTAAGTTATAACAAACAACCAAGCAGCCCTGATGGCCACCTGAAAGACATCATGAAAAAGAAATTTTCAATACTGATGAAAGTAAAACTTGACTAATATAAGAAACAATATGAAATACCTCAGGAAAGGCATGTTGTTTAGTTATCATGCCAGAGATTTTCATTAAAAAAATCAAGTGAATTGGACCCTTTATGGCCACGCCCATCTGCCACTTGGGGTCAGCCAGGGTCAATATATGCATACAATTAAACTGTCATTCTAATCACCAATAGAAATTAAACAAATCATGCTCAAAAAATGTCCTTTCCTGTACTATGGTAAACTGTATTCCTTCCTACAGGAGAAATGTGACACCCTTGGGTTGCAGAATTCACAATCTTGGTAAAGCATCTTAAAGCCCTTTTACATGTACTAACGTATCTTGGTGTTGAGAAGAAGGTTTTTAAAAGTTAAGTTAATTTGATCCCTTTTGACCCAGTTCATCTGCCTCTGGTGGTCAGTCATGATCAATATGTGCATATCATCAGTGTCACCCTGTACTCATAATTCTTACTAAGTTTGAAATATTTCTAATGGAAAATAAGCAAATTATGTGCGAAAAAAGTTATTTTCGTATAAAACAACAACTTGATATTCCCTTCCAAGGAGGATATGTGAGTCTCTGGGAATATGTAATTCATATTTTTTGTAAAGCACCTTAAGACCTTTCCATCTAAGAGTATTTTTTTATTGTACCATATCTAGGTGTTGAGGAGAAGAAGGCCCTGGGAGATGGGTTCCATGTAATTCATAAGTTTGGTTCACCTTTGGCAATGGAAGGTTTCTGCATAATTTCATTAAATTGGTTGAGGGGTTTTCCAGAAATGCTGGTTGTAAAGATAGGATTGTAACAATGAACTGGCCTTGACATTTGAACACTGGTTGTAAAGATAGGATTGTAACAATAAAACTGGCCTTGACATTTGAACACTGGTTGTAAAGATAGAATTTTTTGTTAATTAATAAATACATTAGAAAATCACAACACAATAAAGACACATCAAGTAATAAATTATTTTAATTTCAATTCCAGATTAATCTTTTTCATAAGAAAGTGTTAATCTCATTTACAAATAAATATATTCAATAGGAAATAAACAGAACAACATAAAGGATACTTTCTTTTGTCATGGGAATTATACTGCTCATTGTGATAATCACTGTTAACCTGTCTAAAACAAACACTTTAAGGACCATGTGTTAAACCTGTCTAAAACAAACATCTAAGGGACTAAGTTTTTTTTATTATATGGGCTTAACACAGAGAGTTGTCAGAGTTGGCTGTTTGTCCTCAGTTGCTCAAAGCTTCCTTAGCATTATAACCAGTGGTTAGTGAAAAATTTCAAATATGAATTAAACAAAACTGTGTAGACTTAATGAAACAGGTCTGATTGATATATTTTATGTAAGTGTCAGTTTTACAGTGAATGTCCTTGTTCTTTCAATGGGAACAATTTAAATCTTCCACTAACCACAAGTTACTGCAACTCTCACCAAGCTTTGGGCAATCAAGGCCTGGTTTCCGCAGATCTCCTAAAATCTTCAGCGTGTATATCATTTTAAAGTGTGTCTCAAATTAAGTACACTTATACAATCTAGGCTGCATACTTTAAAACTGATGGGTCCCTTTCTGGAAGACTTCATTTCAATTTTATGAGGCTTTCAAATTTGGAAAAATAGTTACATACCAAAATGCTAAAAGCTTTATCGTCACTTCTAATGAATGACTCTCGAGGTCTTTCGGTTAATCAGATAGTGTCATTCACATCAGTTCAACAAAGATGACCCTGGTGACCTTTACTATGAGTCAAAGTTATTTCTTTAAGTAAACATTTTTTCAACTCATCCCAGGAACCTACCAACTATTTGCCAAATATCATGATTCAAAGCCTTTTGGTTTATCATAAGAAGTCATTTACATTTTTTTCTAATTTGACTACCTGGATTCTGAAACGGTCCTGGCAATTTTTTTGGAAACTTGAGTTTCATCCAACAAACCTGCTTGCCAAATACCTCATGATAGTATATTCTAAATCAAATAGTTCTTTGAAAAGAAATTGCTTAAAGAAAAACTTGACGGATGCCATACACCATGTCATGCAACAGCATTAATATAGACTGAGTATTTATCTTTCCCTGTAAACTTCAGGCTGCAAAGTTCGCAACGTGAAAGGATGACATGAATAATTACGATAATCAATATACCATACAGTCAGTTATTTTTGTGATTCTAAATTTTCGCAACTGCCACTCAAAAATTCAAGTTTTGCAATCTGGATATATCAGGATATGCATATATTTCATGTGAATATTGCTCCTGTTGTCAAGATTTCAGACAAGGTTTCATGCTTCAAGACATGTTTAATACTGTGTACTAGGGATATTACTGATGTGTCTTTAGTGTACCGTATAGCTGTGTCAGGTCTCAGCACTTTAGTTCACATCTACAACTGCCCTCTATGTGGAAAATGTTTTATTTGGTTCCTTGGTCCTTTAGAGTAGATACTTATTCCATTTTTTAGGGGATTTTGATACGCTAAAATGGGCCCAGCATACACATTATAGCATAGTGTGATTTTAAAATGTTTACAATAATAGATGTACCAATAGTTGTTTTATGCCACATGTTCTGTAACATGTTATCTAAACAAGTCCTGCTTTCTGAACATCTTTTGATATTTGAGAGACTGCCGATGTGGGAGTTTGCTGATAACAACATCAATATGACAATAGCATTCAGTTGAGGTTTCTATCATTAATAACATTTGAATGTTTTGTATTATTTCACAGATCAAGCTTTCACAATCAGAAAAAAATATCAACCCCCACATAAATAACTGGCTGTGTGGTAACATTGAGCAAAAACAAGTACCTAGCACAAGGCACCTTGTAAGTATTGCTGGGGATATATAAACACAAAGCTGGAATTTTACATAGAAATATTGCGTTTCTATATTTCTTACATACATGTATAAATATAATTATCGTCACATGATCATCACATGTCTTACATGACATAAATTGACTTTATAGTCATAATATAGCATTATAATTTTGACACTTGTCACAGGACACTGTGGTATCAAGTTTGATCATCTCACAATTTCCATTAGTTTCTAGATTGACCATGAGCTTGCAGGGTTCAGCAGACGGAGCCGGGTCAGGCAGTTCGTGTCCTGACCCAGTAGAGGAAAAGCTGTCATGGTTACCTCTGTAGGTGAGTGGTGGAACATTTAATTCCTCGAATGATGACCGCTGCACATTTGGTATCAGAGGTATGGCGATGCTGTTCTTATGTCTTTTCCTGTTGTCCTCACTGCTTGCTCGACAACTATTCACATGCTGGGCCTGTGGGTTACTTATGTTGCTGGCCCTACGATTATCAATCGTTATACTTAGGCTGCGCGCTAGGCGACGAATCTCTTCCTTAGTTAATATACATGAACAAAACGTACGCCAAAATTGTCGTCTGAATTTCTTTCCAAAGAAGTAATATGGCACTATATTTATGGCAGAATTGATTATAACTAGAAAGTTGGATACTTCATTAAAAGTATACCAAGACAACGAAACAAAGGCAGCATTAAAATCTAGTGCCCAAATCATTCTCGATATTAGAGCAGGACCTTGACATAACAGAAAAATGATCACAACACCTATCAACATTATCGTTGTGTCATTCCTACGCTTTTCTTTAGAATTGAGCTGCAATCCTTTTTTACGTGACTCATGAACAGCTCTAATAAGAAATGTATTAAGAACTACTAAGGCCAAAAAAGGAATTCCAGCAACACATATAAGATAGAGCCAGGAATGTATAATCTCTCTAAAAAGGTTACTCGAACCAAATTCTGTCAACTTGATCAGCATTGGCGAAGGAATTGTAAAGTTTGCAATGATGTCAGGCGGTAAGGGGAACTGTTCTTGTTCAGCTTTATATTCGAAAAATCGTGGAATGTTATATACAAAACCAGCAGTCACAAGGCCACATATCACTTTCCTTGCTCGTCCCACACTGCACCAGCGTTCTGCCTTAAAAGGGTGGCAGATCATGATGTAGCGGTCAACAGTGAATGCGAGAGTCAGCCATATTGACGTGACTTGGAATGTGAGAGCTGCCGGATGGACGAATGGAAACATGTAAACATAAAATGGCTCCATCCATCGAATTTCTGATTTGACAGGCTTTTTTGTGTCTTTGATAAGAAGTAACATGGTCATGAAGAGAAAGAATGTGTCACTTAAGGCTAAAGCAGAGAGGTAGGAATACGTAGAGGATCGCATCAGACGTTGGCTAAGAACGATCACAGAAAGGATGTTACCAATTATTCCTAAACAACATAGCGTCATACCACAGATACCCATAAGGTAATACATGAGCAGGTCCTTTTGATAACCAAGGTCACCATTTGGAGAGTCATTCAAATTGATATCTTCAAAGAAATCTGTAAATGGGTAGTTTGACAAGTCAATTGTCCCATTCCATGAAAATGTGAAGTTTAAGTTGGACAAATCCAGTCCTGACAGAAGCGATTGTTCATCTGCAGAGTTGCCATTTTGGTCCGGCATACTAACAACTTAATGAAACAGTTTTTTTAATTTATTTTTGATTGTTTCAAATAATGAAATTTGAAACTTTTGAGGAAGATTCCTTAAACTGTTTGCTGATATTTTCGTTGTCAAGTAGAGAAATTACACTTGGAAACCATCATGAAACTATTGCTTTTTTTTACTTTGTCAATCTGTTGTTGTAGATGTATTCTCATTGGCATTCATTAACTCCACACATAATTTCAGCTACTCTCCTGAATTAGACAATCACAGATTAAAATTCATCTTGAAGAAATCCTAAGAGAAGATTTTCTCTTTACACTCTAATAAGTATATCTCTTCTTCCAGATCCTTTCCACTTGTTTCCCTTGTTTGTACAATGATATCCAATCACAGGAAGTGTTTTCCCATCATTACAAAATCTTTCTACTGATAACCGCTCTTTTGTCACACAAATTTGTTTCTCACTAATTTGAATCCACCAAACACAATCTTAATTATTCAGTTGACATTTCCCAGTCTTAATTAAAGATGATTTCCTTTCAAGTTCATCCACAATTTATTTTGAGTATCATATTTTAATGACAAGGTGGCTCTTCCAAACAGAGGTAATAGAAACAGCTACGTGTTGATGACACTGCTTTCAGACATTGTTTTGCTCTCCATGTAGTCAACAAATCTATACTTAAGGCAATTTACTTTGTGCTGGCTGAGCATGGCCTAGAATCATTCTGTAAATAACTTTACTTCCATGACACTTTTTTATGTAGCCATGGTAATCCAGTACAAAATATTTTTACATTTCATCCAAATTTCTCCTTTTTGAACTGATTTACGCTGTATTCCACAAAACTTCCAATTAACAGCTGTTCAGTAACTTCAGTATCAACAGGCTATCTTATCTTCATGCATCCATTGTTCTTGTAGCTTTTCACAAAGTTGGATTCTGGAAAAAAAAGAGAGAAATAATTACTTTGATGGTTACAACTTAAACTATTAGCCATAGATTAAATTAAAACTTCCAACTCTCACAACATCTTGAATAGTACACAGGCTAATTTCATATCTCCTATTTGTACTCGTCAACTTCTCAAATCAGAATTAAAGCAGATGAAAGTTAAAAAAAAATTAGCATTTTATACAAAATCTAAATTTATACCATATACTGTAAAATCATGTATTTTGGGGGGTCTAATTTTCTTGGTTATCATTAAAATACTGGATTTAGAGTATACATGACATCAATGAATATAACTCCCCACGAAAAATAATGATTGCACAGTTAGACTAACTACTCTTACAATCACTTATTTGAGCTTTTCTGTGTGATATACTGATTTATCTTACGTCTGGATGCCTGGAGGAAGAAATACACAAAATCTGAGTGCATCAACTTAAAAGGAAAACAGGGCTACTTTGGTAAAAATCTAATTAAGGGAGGGTTGACAGTTACACCTCAGCTTCCACACACAATCAGAACTGAATGTCATATTTTATCTCAATATACCATCAAGATATTGATCATTATCTGCATTCTCTTGTAAGATGGTACTGGACCTGAAAACTCCAGTAATTTACTCAGAAATATGATGCAGGTTCAATGTTAACCTATCTAACTACTTAGAAGTTCAACAGATTTGTCATCACTTCTTCATGTAGGCATTGATTTATTACAGCTTTGAGCTCCTCTCTCACACAAACAGTCGAGGATTCTGATTGTCAACTGGGTTATATATTTCTATATCTACATATTGTAAGTGATTGTCTTCCATACATGTCAGTCAATAACTTCCTACATATATGCTACCTTGAAACACCTGTTAAAATCTTTGAATGACATTAGTTTATAAAGTCAATTCTAGAAATCAAGCAGTATTCAATGATCAATTATCATGGAGAATTAAGATGAAGAGATCAAGAGAAATGACCAGCCTGTAAATTTGTAGACTCTGTCTATTAATGCTGATCAACTTTTGCAGATTTTCTCCCCTGTGTCTTCAAATCTACGTTTCTATACAACAGCCAGTTACTCAGCTATCTGATCCTGTCTTCTTAGAGCCTGTTAAGCCTATAAATCATATTCTCAGTGCATATCTCTTCAACTAGTACATTGTACATATTTATAAAAGCTGAATTTTCTTTTTATTCTGAAAAATAATCATATCTTTTGATAAAAGCTTTTTTTTTGACACATTAGCCAAGAAATGGAAAAAGACATCTACTGAAAATTTCCAGTGGTATGATTGTAATGGGAAAGGCCAACAGGGAATGTCAACCATTCATGGCGGCAAGGCAGTACATACAGAAGAAACAATTTGTTTTCATCAGATTATGAAACGAATATCATAACACACTACATCACTACAACAGATTGTGGTTGTGTGGCCAGGTGGTTACGGGGATATGCTACTTATGTTATGTGTATCTCCTTATCAGAAGACTTCTGACTTTCTGACATCTGAAAAAACAATTCAGATATGATGGGGGTATTTAATATTTGGATTATCAATAAAGATATAAAACAGTACAAAAAGACGTCTGTATTTTTATTGGAAATCTAACACATTTTCTTTCATAATAAATGAAAATAATCTCAAAGAAATAGTAAAGTAACATGACAGCTGACAAGTTCAGGGAATGTGTATATATTTCTTTGTGACACAATTTAGTTTGCCTAGTGTCATTCACTTAGAAAGTTGTACCTAGTCATCAGCTCATCCGTTTGTAATTAACATCAATATATACATATTTATCAATGAAAAGCTTTCAAGGAAAAAACAATTATCTATCATCATTTCCGGGAATATCAAGATTTGTATTTTTTTCTAAACACACCAAAAACTGAGTCCTTAGCAGTTAAATAACATCACTCATACTTATATAGCATTATCAGCATTATGGCCACAAAAAATCAGCATATAATTTATGCAGGCACTTATAGATGTAATTTACACAGAATCAGGGCACTAACAGATGTAATTTATACAGAATCAGGGCACTTACAGATGTAATTTATACAGAATCAGGGCACTTACAGATGTAATTTATACAGAATCAGGACACTTACAGATGTAATTTATACAGAATCACGGCACTTACACATGTAATTTATACAGAATCAGGGCACTTACAGATGTAATTTATACAGAATCAGGACAATAACAGATGTAATTTATACAGAATCAGGACACTTACAGATGTAATTTATACAGAATCAGGGCACTTAAAGATGTAATTTATACAGAATCAGAGCACTTACAGATGTAATTTATACAGAATCAGGACACTTACAGATGTAATAACAGATGTAATTTATATAGAATCAGGACAATAACAGATGTAATTTATACAGAATCACGGCACTTACACATGTAATTTATACAGAATCAGGACAATAACAGATGTAATTTATACAGAATCAGGACACTTACAGATGTAATTTATACAGAATCAGGGCACTTACAGATGTAATTTATACAGAATCAGGGCACTTACAGATGTAATTTATACAGAATCAGGGCACTTAAAGATGTAATTTATACAGAATCAGAGCACTTACAGATGTAATTTATACAGAATCAGGACACTTACAGATGTAGTTTATATAGAATCATGTCGCTAACAGATGTAATTTATACAGAATCAGGACACTTACAGATATAATTTATACAGAATAAGGGCACTTACAGATGTAATTTATACAGAATAAGGGCACTTACAGATATAATTTATACAGAATCAGGACACTTACAGATATAATTTATACAGAATAACTTTGTAATACAGAATCAGGGCACTTAAAGATGGCACTTACAGATGTAATTTATACAGAATCAGAGCACTTACAGATGTAATTTATACAGAATCAGGACACTTACAGATATAATTTATGCAGAATCAGGACACTTACAGATGTAATTTATACAGAATAAGGGCACTTACAGATGTAATTCATACAGAATCAGGGCACTTACAGATATAATTTATACAGAATCAGGACACTTACAGATGTAATTTATACAGAATCAGGACACTTACAGATATAATTTATACAGAATCAGGACACTTACAGATGTAATTCATACAGAATCAGGGCACTTACAGATATAATTCATACAGAATCAGGGCACTTACAGATATAATTTATACAGAATAAGGGCACTTACAGATGTAATTTATACAGAATAAGGGCACTTACAGATATAATTTATACAGAATAAGGGCACTTACAGATGTAATTTATACAGAATAAGGGCACTTACAGATGTAATTTATACAGAAACAGGACACTTACAGATGTAATTCATACAGAATCAGGGCACTTACAGATATAATTTATACAGAATAAGGGCACTTACAGATGTAATTTATACAGAATCAGGACACTTACAGATGTAGTTTATATAGAATCATGTCGCTAACAGATGTAATTTATACGGATTCAAGGCGCTAACAGATGTAATTTATATAGAATCAGGATATGAACAAATGTAATATTTGGATTTGGAATCGATGATCTTACTCATAGTGTTAGACAGGAATACAAAATGAAGTAATTTCCTGTTTGTGTGTGGATGGAGACCTGGCAGGAAGTGGTTAAACGATCGTGGAATATGAGGCAACATGTCAAGTGTGAAGTAACCTGCTAATCCATACATACTGCTGCTAACTGAAAATACACTCTGATCAAATGAAGTTTAAAGTGACTATTATTTGTAACTGAAACTTTATAATCCATACTTGCAAGCTTTTTGGAATTGTCATGGGGAGATATATATAAATACAAACAATAAGACTGTCTTCATAAAATCTAATCCTTGAAACTAATGATTATTATTATTATGGAAAAATGAGACTTTTAAAAATCATGAACAATTCGAAAGAATGGATAATTTCTGTCTAAATTTGAAACCATTTAACCACACATCAGGTGAGATAGTCCATGTAAAACACACAGACAGGCAGGTCTCACATACACATCATCCTTTACATCAATGATGGTCAACCTAAACCAATGGCCAGCAAATATTATCAGATGTAAACTTGACCTTAAAATATATCAAATATGAACTTAATTTTCATTGAAGTTAAAGAAATATTTCTTACA